AAGTCCCCGGTTGTGCCATTCACTCTAGATGTCAAATTCAATCCGGCTAACTTTCTCCTACTGTAACCCGAAAAATCACGTCGCTCTCGTGAACCTTTCAGTGCTTGCATCAATTTATCCCTATCCCAGTGCACTTCATCACATCCATTTCGATCTGGCACCTTCGAACTTTGGGGCTCGTGATCTTCGATGTCTGCGGTAAGTCCGATACGTGAGCGGACAGGCAAATCGTCGCGATGCCCAACAACTGGTATATACTGCAACCTGCTTCCCATTCTCTTGAAAGGACCAAAAGACTTCACTCTCGCTGCAAACGGCAAAGGTCAATCACATGATCAATCATACTGAAGTTGCCATTCGCATCGGAAAAATTGGAGCTATCTGCTGTGACGATGTAGTTGAAACCCGGCCATGCTCCTCCAGGAATTCTCGTAAACGCTGTCCCGCTCCGAATGCATGTCTCTCTTGTGTGACTCTGCGTCCGATCGTTACCTCCCCAACGTTCCGCCATTGCCCGTATTGTTTCGATAACCCCATGCCGTCGTTCACATCAATCACAATGAACGCCATTGCCGAACGTGGGGCTTTGCCAACCGCTAGAGAAGCCTATCGTGTAAGCTTCTCACAACACGCCAAACACGTTGGGATATATTTCCTGTCAGACTGCTTCGGCGGGTAATACATCGCCAGCGCGTAGACATGCCTCTGAATCTGAAATGCACTCCAACTCCACGGCCCTGCAGCTGACTGGGTGGTGTGTCGGTTATCCGTATACATTTCTGTGGTCACCGTGGAGGCAGCATGAAAATGCATCCTGCACTCTTATTGCTGAACTTGCTGTGCTTCCAGCTTGCAACCACTGCAACTCTGTCCTACGTGTGCTGCGATACGTTTCACTCGTATATGCCTTGCTGCGTGTGCCCTGCAGTCCGATCATTCCGAAATTGATGGCCTCCGGAGCAATGTCCTCCATGCGCGCATGAAATCCATACAGGCAATTCAAAGAATGAGCGGCGAGAGTGTATGCCATGAGCTGCTAGCCAGCAGCCGCGTAGTAGTGAGAGTAGGCTGCCGTACGTGAAGATGTGACACCTCGCGGCGCGCGCACGAGGCGGAGGAGCATAAATAAACGGCGGCGCTAGGAGGAGAAGGAGGAGGAGGAGGAGGAGGAGGAGGAGGAGGAGGAGGCGGCGGCGGCGGCGGCGAAAGGGTGTCGGGCCGAAGGTCGAACTAATCGAGCACAACACACACACACTCTGAGAAAATTCTGAAACGTGCGACCTACCGTGCGTCAGACGACGTCGGGATAAAATATGGTCCCGCAGCGGGAGCCCCTAGTGAACCTTGGATGGGGACATGGCGACCCTGTGCTGGCGCCAGTGTCAATCCAACGGGAAAAGAGGAGGAGGCGGAGAAGGAGGAGCAGGAAAAGGAGCAAGAGTGAGGGGAGGAGAAGCAGTGAGGAGGATACGAGGGGGGCGGAGGAGGAGACAAAGCGGGGATGACGAGGAGGAGGAGGGACAGGAGGACAAGTGCACATTCCCCACGCGACATTTTTTTTGGGGTTGCCGCCCCGCGCACGGCGACAAGGCGGAGAAAGTCGAGCGGCGACAGAGATCCACCACACACAAACGCACCACAAATGCTGCAGCACACCAGAAGACCCCAATTCCCATCCCTTGATAAGTCAATGCAGGTACACAGTCTCTTCCGATAAGGCTTCGGAATTGCGCACCAGAAGCCCCCCGCGGTAGTCCCGGCTGGCCCCGAGTAGTCCCAACTGACCTCAACATGCACTCCGAGTAGTCCAGGGCAGTATCAACAATCCAGCGCCACCTTTAGCGGGCGCGCTCCGCGCCCCAGGGTTAAGGTGTTGAGACCGCCCGTTGAGGCCAGCGCGGTGAGATCGCTCGTTGAGGCCCGCTTTATTTGGGGGGCCTGTTGAGGCCCGCTGGGACTACTCGGGTGGGTCTGTTGAGGCCAGCCAGGGCTACCTTTGGGGGGCAGTCTGCACGTGACCCGAAGCCTTGCCAGTCCCTTCCAGTGCCGCACGCGTCCGCTGGACAGGTGAGCTTCACATGGGCCAGCATCGAATCCATGACCTGAAAATGCTACAATGATGATGCTCCTCTGGCCGCCACAAGCTTGTGATCTGGAAAGGCTCGAGAGGCTTGAAGAGCAAAGGGTCAAAGCCCTGTGGCCCTGCCAGAAATTGGCAGGACTGGAAATACGAGGGCCACATGTCTGGACGAGGAAAACAATCCGTACCCCACCCCCAGAAACGTTGGCCCCGCTGGGCGATCTACCCCCCCCCCCCTGGGTGCGGATGGGTACCGTCTCCTCCGGGTCTCGGAGCACCCATCCCCACCTACAGGGAGCACGCTGGCAGAGCCAACTTACCCTGCCCCGGTGGGGTGGGGAAGCCTCCGACGCTAATGACTATGTCGCCGTGCCGTTTGTTCTCGACGCGCCCGAGTAGACGACGCCGACACCACAGCAA